ATGTCGAGGGGAAGGACGGTCAGATTGTTTCGAGTACCGACTCGAGTTTCGACGTGGCTACCATTCCGCCACCTTTGTTGGCCGTTGAACGGTCGAGATCCGACGTTGACGACGAGGAGGAGGATATCGAGGACGAGGATGAAGACGTTGAGGACGACGAAGACGACGAGGACGACGAGAACGACGGCGACGATGACGACGAGTATTCGGAGACGAAGGGAAATCGACGACAGCAACGTTGACGGGACTGCTAACAGTTCGAGATCTCTTAACTTTTTTCTTTCTTTTTCTATTCGACGATAGGATCGTCGGGAATATATCGATCTCGTGTAAGGATAATTATTTAGTAGGTTTGTTACACGTGTTTTAGAGATTCGATTTAATTTGATATACGTATACCCGTAAACGAATCTTTAATTCATCATCTTGTACGGGACGATTCGGGGGGAACGAAGCTACTCCTACTATAATGATTAATAATTATATCTAAGAGAATACGAAAGTTATATGTGACATAGGTGACGAGAATTTTACGTATAAAATACGTTAAAATTTAATTTATCGTTGTCGTCTCGTTGTCGCTCCGCGTAACGTATATACCATGGATACCGCGATAGATTTAGGACGACAATCATTGTTGGAGAAGAAGGTTGCATCGTTGAAAGAGGGAAAGGAATTTTAGTTTGGAGAATTGAATCTTCGATAGCGACGGTCGGTAATGACTCGGTCGTAATTTTTTATTTGTGTCTCGTTTCAGGACGGAAGACAAGTTGCTCAACATATAGATACTTATTACTAAACTGTTTATCGCGCACTTTCATCGCGTGGAATTGCGGATTCACGGTAAGAGTGGTTCCAAAATGGAATAAAACGCGTTTTTAAAAAATCGTCGTTTTTCGTCGTCGAAAGATCGAATCGATCGGAAACGTTTGTCCCTTTTTTACCGACTACATTTTTCCCCCCCATCGATAACTTTCTCCCACGGTGCTATTCTACGAATTTCTTTAGAAACGATCGAAAGTTATGTCGCTCGAATAAATTTACTCGAACGGATGCAAGCTTTTCGCTTTTCAAGGTGATGGAAGAGATCAAGATCGTTCGTTCCAAGCTCGGAATTTCCCTTTTCTGTCAATTATAATATTGCACCGAGTGAAAGTGTCGTATAGTTCGATTTAAAGAGGCTCGAGAACAAAGGAAGAATGTTTTCGTGGTTTCGATGCATTTTCTTGACGAAGAAATGAAGATTGGGTCGGAGATGATATAGAATAGTTTGTATATTCATTTTCTTTATTCCATAAGCGATTAAGGATAAAAAAAAAATCGTATAAAATGTGTACAGTATATCAATCGTTTTTCTGGCGTTGATAAGGGAAACTTGATATTAACAGCGCACGAAGGGTTGGATCGGTCGAGGTCTAAATTTGTACGACGATCGATATTGATATAATGGATAGAAACTCGGGAGTGAATAAATATCCCGTTAACGCCGTATTAACGCGTAACGTTACGTCGAGCGTAAAGGCATCGATACGTAAAAATATCTTTGCGCGTTATATTTTATCCTAACGAGAATTTGCGCTTGATAAAAACGAGATACGCGTATCTTTTCCTTTCTTTTAATCTTTTTTCTTCTTTTTCAAATTACGATTTTGGTTACCCTCGAAAGAGGCCAAATCGATCGAGAAAAAGCAATAATTTATTCGTAAGAAATGAATAGTTGTTGGCGGGAGTAAGGCTAGTGCCCTATGATTTTTCTACCGAGGGAAATAAGAATCGAAAAAATTGGCGATCGGACGGTGACGGATTTGTCGCGAGTTTAAGTTGCATCGACGAGTGTGTCGATACGATGTTCCAATCTACGTGACTGCCACGCGTAACATATCGACGTATAACGTAGTCTGATTCGTCCCTCCGATTTTTCTACGCTAAACGTTTTTCTCGTTTCGAAAATTGATTCGTTTCATCTGTATATGTACGTATGTACGTCGAGATCGAGATTGACGCGAGAAAAAACGAAAATCGTTTCTTTATCGGTCGTGCAAAATATCTGTTTGACATTTCCGGGGCGTGCAATATTGGGAATATATATATATATATATATTCGAGGGAAAGCGTGGCAGTTGTAGATTAGCCCGATTTTTAGCTTGCGTTTCAGGTCGATCGATCGATCATCGACGTTCTGTGATTCGTCGCGAATTAAAAAAAAAAAAAAAAGTGCGCGCGAAAGGGGAGGAGAATGTATATATATATAATCGTGACGCGATTATAAGTCGAGATCACGCCTGATTCCTTCCGGGCGAGTAGGGGTGGCTCGTTTGAGACGACGAGAATCCTCGTCCGTCATGGAAGCGTATAGACGATCACGTTGATAATCATGTTGAATAATCGTTAACTTACCACCACCACGTGACCATTAATCGCCACTCCATTTAGTCATTGTTACGCTATTATTGCTACACTTAATTAAAAAAAGAAAAGAAAAAAAAAAAAGGAAAAAAAAAAAAAGGAAAAAAAAAAAAAGGTTACTAGTTACTACATCGTAGAACGCAGTGAAGATTATACGAACAAATTAACTACGTAATATTATTTACGTATCGCGAAGGTGAATACGCGAATAAAAGGATAAAGGAATATGCGATTAGAGAGAGAGAGAGAAAGAGAGAGAAAGAGAGATGGCGAAACTCGAGTTAAACTCTTTTTACCGATCCCACTGCGCATGCGATCGGTAAGATTCGCTGGGAACGCCCCCACGTTGTATTTGCTCATACATATGATGTATATGTCCTTTCCTCGAGAATTTACCTTTTCGCTTACGATTCCTCGAAGCTATGCACGATTCGCAATTTCTTTCGAACGCAACACCGCGTTTGTCGGCTGTACTCGGTCGAAATTTGACGAGCTGCGAGCAAACATCGACGACGATGACTACGACGATGACAGCGACGACGACAGAGTAGCAGAGAACGAGTCGCGCAATTTTGCGTTTGCATGCTGAATTTATCGTGAATCGACGTTGTTGTATCCGCTGCGATGTATTCACCAACTTTATCAAATGGCGGAGAAAACACACACACACACATACACACACACATGGTGAAGCACAGTAAGCCGATCTCGATAACGATGGGCACTCTATACGATCGAACGAGATTTTATCCAATTCGTTTCGTTCAACCATTTTTCAAATCAAACAATGTATCATCAACTGGTCATTTTTTCGTGTCATTGTTCAATTATCCGTCTACGCTTTCATATACCGTCCCTGGAATCGTCGCTTTCTTTTCGAGTTCCTCTATTCATTCTAGCTCGTGCTTCCTTTCCTTTCTTTCCTTTTTTTTCTCTCTTTTTAATGAAATAAAAGACTCTTCTGGAAGAGAGTCGAAAAGTGCGAGGTTTTGGTGATCGACTTCTTTAAACGAAACCCTATCCTGTAAACAGAAGAAGAGTATCATCGTATCCTCGATCTATCGTATACGAGTTCCTTTCTGTCAGTTTAATGACTTGACTTGTCCTCGTCTTGCATTTGTGCATCGTCAATCCTGTCCTGCCATCGATATTATCATATTACACACGCACGCGTCTCTTCGAGCACTATTTTCTTTTTTCCTTCGTATTTCTATTTCGTTTCTTTGTTTTATCATCGCATCATGTCACTCTTCATTCACCTCCATCCATCGTTCTTATTTTTTTTTTCCCTCTTCTCTTTTCAATTTGTTTCTCGTAGTTTGTTTCGTACGCGTGCGTGTTATTCGATTACTCGCAGCGCGTATGATGCGTCGTGTGCCGCCTTGAGATCGTTGCGTCGTCATGTTTTCGAATCCAAAACCAGTCTTTATCGATCATCCGTCTAGAAAAATCTAGACTTCGAAGAAAGTAATACGAAGACGAGCCTACTCGATACCGCGATTTGCCTGCCAAATTTATCTTACTTACCTACTTACTTTTTAAGCTTCAGCTTTCGCGCTTCTCTTTGAGAAAGAAATTGAATCCGTTGCCAATGCGTTCGGTAGCACACACTCGCTCGTTTACGTTTTTCTTTTCGTTACGAGCGAATCACGATTAAGTGGAAAAAGAGAGACTACTTTAATCTGACGAGAGGTTAAAACTTCAATCGGTTTATGTATATCGATATTAGCAAACGACTGAACACTGTTCGTTACGATAAATAATGTACATGTTATGTGTAAATATATACATGTATGCCAATGAATACGTGTATATGTTTATATGCAATATATATATATTATATATATAATATATATATATATATGAATTTATATTTAATTATAGACATATAAGACGGTTAGCACGCAAAAGTCGCGACACTTGCATTAGGGAACAAGGTATTAAAACTCAAAATGTATCCAGACAACTTGTACGATCATTATTCTTGCGATTATTCCCGTGTACGATTTCTTTTATCGATCGTTTATACTCGCTTTACGTTCGATTCGAAACGAGAAACGGACACGACGTTTATCCATCGTCGGTCGATTCTCGAATCGTTCGCGATTCGATACCTCGCGAAATATACGTACATTGCGCATACGTACGGGACATGTAGGGAAGGGAAGGGGAAGACGAAAGACGAATCGGTTAGCGCAGAGAACGGAATTTCCATGTACTCTACGTATGCTTTTCGACAGGTGGTGAATACAATCGTTGGAACTACGCGAACGGCTATGTGAACTCGCCTGCTTGGCACGTGCCACTTCGCGTGGCGCAGATTCGTAACGTAATGGTTCACGCAACGCCACGCACTCTCACCAATCGATTCATACCGGCATACCCACGTTGAGACGGGACAAAGAAAGAAGTACCACGCTACATCTCTGAGAGAATCGGACCCCTTCTTCTTAACATGCTATGTGAACGGAAAGAGAGAGAGAAACGGAGCGAACGTGGAGAAAAAAGAAAAGGGACGAAAGGGAGAGAAGACGTCTTCCTCGCTCTTCCATCCACGATGCTTCGTTCGCATTCACGAGGCCCCGTCACGTTCACATGTTTGCCATTCTCTCGTGTTGCTACGTGATCGTACGTGTAGCCTACGATCCTGCGGAGGAAAGAGAGAAGACGAATAGATGGATCGATAGACTTTTGCCAACGACCATCTTTCTTTAACCGTTCTCATCCGGTACGAGTAGTTCGAGTTCCGTTAATCGTTGTTCTCGCGGTTACAAGCGCGTGCCGTCGTCTCGGCCCCATTTTGTTCTCTCTCTTACTTCTCCCCCTCCTTTTTTTAGACATACAGATTTCGCACACCTTCCATTACTCGTTACTTGTTCGTTCACTACCCGCAAACGCCATTTGCACTGCATCTTTAGAAGGTAGAGGAATAGTCGGATCGATTTCTTCCAAAATATCGTATCCGAGCACTATTTAGAAATTTCTTCGTTTTTTCTCCATTCCTCCCAAACTTTTCCCATTGCAATTTTTCATGTACGATATTGCTTGGAACTTGTCGCTTCCTCTCTTTTCTTTCTTCCCTTAACATTTTAAGTCTGATTTGTATAGTTGCCATCTTCGTTGCGTTTCTCATACTGGTCGATTCCCAGCTCTTGAACTCCTCGTAAAGTAAATCGCATCCTTTGACGTGTATACATACATATATTGTAGAATTCACTTTAGCTTGCCTCGTTGTCTACCCCCCCC